GGTATGGATCCATATCGACAGTTCAATAACTAAAAGCATTCTTATATTAACTGCCTGATGACAGTCTTGTACGACGGAAATATGTAGCAGAAATAAAAGGTATAAAAAAGGTATAATTGTAAAATATTAAAAACGAGTATATTTGTTGTGTGACGATTAATCTAATTCCTATATATATGATAATGCATCTCCTTGTTTTCGAACATTCTGGATAGGAAAATTATCAGAGAAAGGTTTAGCTATATGGACTTCACCATACGTTCCGTTTAAACAGATTTTAATCAGCCTAACCAGTTTCGTGGGTATCCCAAACTCTATGAGAATACTGTACAATACTTCCCTCCTAAATGAATCATAGGCTATCTTGAAGTTTCTGAATAGTCGATGCACTGCCTCATTGTACTCCCATATTTTCTCCAGTATTTGGTAAATGCAAAAGATCCTATCAGTGGTTGATCTGTCACATCAAAACCCACACTGATGATCCCCAATAATTTCATCTACGTAGGTCAGTCAAAAAGTTCCCGGAATTCCCCTGCAGGCGGAGAACGAGCGATAAGTTAGCGCCCACACTGTTGTGGTGGGAAGCTCAGCATGTCTGCTCGCAGGCGCAACAGGTCTGGATAGGTTTCAGTGTGCAGTGTCGTTACTGTTCCGTTTGAATTAGACGTGAGTGTTGGTCATTCGGCGCAATGTCGCAGTTCGATCATCAAGTTCTTGTGCAAATTGGGAAAATCTGCTTCAGATACGCCATCGGCCCTGCAGCAAGTTTACGGTGATACTGCACTAAAGAAATCCCCAGTTTACGACTGGTTTTCCCGGTTTAAGAATGGGCAGGAGACGTTAGAGGATGACCAGGGCACTGGAAGACCTTCGACATCCAGAACCGAAGAAATGATTGGAAAAGTGCGACAACTGATTCGATGTGCTCGAAGAATGACCATCGCGGAGTTGGAGCAAGAAGTTGGTACTGTTACTGGCCATTTCTACGTGCACGTTTTGCAGAGGTTGCGCGATGCGGTTCGGAGGAAGCGGCGCGACAAGAGGCAGGGGCAGCGGTTTCTGCATCACGATAACGCACCGAGCCACATATCGCTTGTTGTGCGGCAATTCTTCGCCGAGAAAAACATTCCTGTCATCACTCAACCACCGTACTCTCCGGATCTCGCTCCGAGTGACTTTTGGCTGTTCCCTATTCTGAAAATGGGCCTCAAGTGGGACACGATTCGCGACCATGGAGGGCATCAAATCTAATGCGACGGCTGAGCTCCAGAAGATTTCAAAAGAAGCCTTCCACCACTGCTTCCAACAATGGCAGGATCGATGGAGAAAGCGCGTGTGGGCGCAAGGGTCCTACTTTGAAGGTGATTAAGTGCTGCCGTATGCCCTACCATTAGAGTGCTGTACCACCATTCCGGGAACGTTTTGACTGACCCTCGTATACATAGACTAAACCTTGAGAGAAGAATATTGGATAAAATTTTGTATGAAGTTGATAGCAGTGATATACCCCAAAAATTACTAGTCAGTTTTATCGCCTTTCTTCTGACCTAGTGCAATAATAGACTCCTTCCAATGATCAGGAAATTTTTCCTTATGTCAAAAAGAAGTAATTAGCTTATGGATCTTAGAACGTAATATTACACCTCCAGCTTGAATATGTTCTGTCAGAATTTGATCACTACCTGGCGATTTATACCTTTTCAATTTTGTAATAGCACTTTCAACCTCAAAAGGACTAGGATCAGGTACTAACGGCTCAGCTGTATGGGTTTCTATCTGCCTAACTTCACTGACCGTGTGTACATTCAGTAACTGAGAGAAGCAGTTCTTCCATCTATTCAAAATGTTGTGGGAATCTGCAAGCAGATCACCAGTCTCATCCTTTATTAAGTTACTGCTAGGTTGGTATCCCCTCTTGAAGTCATTTATTTCTCTATGCAGGTCTCTAATGTTCTTGTTCTTACTGTTCATTGCAAGCTTATTATTTTTGTCTTTCAGATATTCCCTCTTTTTATTCCTGAAATACAATACCAGCTGGTTTCAAGTCTTATACTGTTCTGATTGTCCCAATTTTTGGGGGTTGGATCCTGTAAGCACTGCAATTTGGCTTCTTTCCTTTGGTATAATAATTCTGAGCATCCCTCATCGAACTATGCCTTATGCTTCTTCAGTACATATCAACCTAGACAGAATTTTTTATATTCTAATGGTCTCCCAAGCTTTATTAACATCCACCTGTTTTAAGTTTTCCAAAGCTGCGAACCTATTTGAGATTTCAATATGATACTGCTCCTTACCTTCTACCTCGTTTAATTTGAGACTGAGATTCTCAATATGAACTCTCTGCGTTCTTTCTTTACTTACTGCCAGTCTTCCCTAACTTTTGCCACCACCAGGTAGTGGCCAGTACCACGATCTGCTGTCCCGAATGACTGGACATCAAGTATACTTGAATGCCGTCTCACATCCTTCAAAATATATTCAATTTTAATATATGTCTTTCCACCAGGAGATGTCCAAGTAAATTTCTGAATGTTACGATGTAGGGACATTGTACTTTTGACTGGAAGATTTTTTGATGTGGCAAAGCTTCCTACTCTAATACCATTATCATTATTGATTTCGTGTAAACTCTCATTCCCAGTTGTTGGTTTGCATATGTCTTCCCTACATACTTTGGCATTGAAATCTCCTAACAAAGTTTACATATGGTACTTCGGGAATTTATGAAATACATGTAGAACCTGTCCTTTATATCATCAATTTTATCTTCTGTTAGGGCATGAAAATTGAGAACGATGATATCACACCAACGACCTCTTAGTATTATGTATGACATCCTATCGCTAATGAAATCTACCCTCTTAACTGCTGATGATTCTCTATGTACAAAAATACCTTGTACCTAATTCATGATGCTCATTCCATTTTCCATAGAAAAATGTATATTCGCATGCTGATTCAATGCCACCTCCTGTACTCCCACTAAATCTAACTTATATTTTGAGATTTCTTCCACCACTGCCCTGAGCGAATCTACCCTATATATACTTCCGACATTCCAAGTACCAAATCTCTTATCCATTTTCTTCCGCATTGGTCGTTTAACCAAGGAATCCGTCCAGGTCCGAGGCTTCTTGTCACCTTTCGTAACAAGCTTATCTTTTAAGGTGAGGAGTTCTTAGTCCCACGCCCAACCCCCAAACTGGAGAACCATCCCTTCTCGACTGTCCGCGACTGTTTTTTCAACATATTCGCAACTACCCTCCTACTTTCCACGCACTGCCCACAGAAACACAACTTTGTTGTGTTAATCGCCGCAAAGTTTTTCCAGGAGAATTTTCTAATCGATAACCATGATATCAAGTTTTCCCTCAGTTAAAACACGATTTCCTTTTTAACGGCTGTCAATGAAAATACTGTTAGTTTGAATTTTGTTCACTGGTCTGGAAATTGTATCTCCAGATGGGCATGTGTTGGGAAATTTACGGCGAAATTTTCTCCTGCGCAATTTGTATGAGTGCTATGGCATGGAAATGAATGTGGAAAAAACAAAAGTAATGAAAATTTCGAGACAACCAACCCCAGTCACAATAAAGATAGACCAAAAACAACTGGAGAATGTGAAATGTTTTAAATATTTGGGTAGCTTGGTAACAGATGATGGAAGGTGTACTAGTGAAATTAAATCCAGGATTGCCATGGCAAAAGCTGCATTTAGCAAGAAGAAGAATCTTTTTACCAGCAAATTGGACTTAAATTTTAGGAAGAAACTAGTGAAATGCTACATTTGGAGCATAGCTCTGTATGGGGCTGAAACATGGACACTTAGGGCAGTAGATCAGAAACATCTGGAAAGTTTTGAAATGTGGTGTTGGAGAAGGATGGAGAAGATCAGTTGGACCGATTATGTGAGAAATGAAGAAGTGTTAATTAGAGTCAGTGAGCAGAGGAATATCCTACACGAAATAAGAAAACGGAAGGCTAATTGGATTGGTCATGTTTTACGCAGAAACTGCCTTCTAAAAGAAGCTATCGAAGGAAAGATAGATGGGCGGATAGAAGTGACAAGAAGACGAGGAAGAAGACGTAAGAAGATGCTGGATGACCTTGGGGACAGAAGAGGATACTGTCATTTGAAGGAGAAAGCTCTAGATCGCATTAAGTGGAGGAATTGTTTTGGAAGAGACTGTGGACCTGTCGTCTTGACAGATTACTGATGATGATGATGAATCTGTATCAGTTTTTTTTACGTAACACTCATAAATGAAAGCTCTTTGTTCTAAATTGTATCTCACACGAACCATAAAGACACAGAACAGAGCACAATAGATAGAAGCTTCTGTGACACTCGATGGCGTAACACTGACTCGCTGATCAAGTGATCACAGAATGAATGCCCTTCAGTTTGTCGGGGGATACCACAGTGTCTGGGGACACGACGTTCTGAGAAGCTCCCCGGGCGTCTAATAAGCCAGCACAATGAACACTCGGTATAAACTACCTATTTTATTAAATTGTGTTTGTAATTTAATATGGACTGTTCTTATGTTGGTATTAATATCAGCAATTTATTTCGATGCATTATATCAACTAATTACTTCAACATATTTTTTCGGTTTAATGTTCATTTAGGATTAACCATATGTTACCAGTCCACTTTTCGGAAGTTCCCTGAAAACCTCTATGTTCCCACGGGTGAAGCTGCTCCCACTTTGGGAAATGCTGATGAAGAATATGCTGTAAGATTTGAAGTTCCTGGGCGGTGAATATGAAGAATACTGTTTACATTTACCGATTTTCGGAGGAACGTACTGCCTCCGTTTTATGATAACAGAAATATAGGTAAATTCTTACCAGAATACACGGGAACACACACCAGAAGACAGTACTCTTCTTATAATCTGTTATTTAAATTACCTTAGAAATATGCAAACAAATAACTTAGGAGGTTTCCACTGAAATCTAAAGCATGACAAAGCAGAATGCCGACTTACCTCATATACATTGGGATGCCAGACCTTAGTGAGGAATCGTATGCTTGGTGGAGAGTATGGGTAATCTGGAGGAAACTTCATGTGAGCCTGGAACAGAAGAAAACTCGCTGCAGCACCAAATATCTGGTTACTCGTTCTCATAGTCCCCTAGAGTAACACAGTTACTCCTGCTTTTACGGAACCAGAATGTTCGTCACAGTTTTCGCAGAAGCTCATCGTTGGATGTTATTGTCAAGCCTGCCCAATCCACTTTGTCTTAAATATTCTTTTTAATATCTTCCTCACATCTACGTGATTTTCCGATCAAAACAGCGTAGGCATTTATCATTTCTTCGACGCACGCTACACGTCTCTCCCATTTCAAGCTTCTTGATATTATCACCCTAAAAATATCAGACGAATGATATAAATTATGATGCAAGCCTGCAATATGATCCAGCCCTTTGTTCCTTTGCATTCTTAGCTCCAAATATTTATTTCGGCACTCTATTCCGGAACACAGTACTGTATATACTTTTAAGATCTGTGGCTTACACGACGGTGAGCGTTCTAAGTGCGGTGTTCTGGGTTGTGATACCGTGTAGTCTTGTAAGTGAGTATCACTTCGATCCTGACGGAAGAAGCAGGTTCCTCCGAAACGGTGATATCTACTAACGACTACACGGTGGCACAATCCAGAAAACCAAACACTCAATCCATGTTCTTCCCTCAAGGTAATATGCCAAGTTTCCTGCCTAAAATGAGAGAGTGAAGAGGCAAAATCTCTGAAGGAATAACCATTACCTTCAGCATCCATAATATGAAAGCCCACAACAAGTTTCCTGCCTAAAACTGAGAAACTGAAGTGGAAAACTCTGCGACGGCATAACTAAATGTTTCAATATCCAAGCCTGTCAATGTCCATGAACCTCAGCCACTTCCATCCTCACTACTGTCTATGATGCACCTCAATACTATTCAGCATCTCCTTCGTCACAATTCAAACAGACCATTTTCCGCCAAATTAGATATTAATTTCTTGCCTCCGCCATTCAATCTACACGCCTAGCTACTTTGCTACTTTTCAACTTTGCTTTAGAATATGCCATTATGAAGGTCCAGAAAAAACCAGGTGGGACTGAAATTAAATGGGACACATCAGCTGTTGGTCTATGCTGATGATGTGACTCTACTGGGTGATAATATAGATACCATAAAGAAAAACACACAAACTTTAATTGACGCAGTAAGGAGGTTGGTCTAGAAGTAAACACAGAGAAAAATATTTATATGTTGCTATCTCGTCACCAAAATGCAGGGCAAAATCATAACATAAAGATAGGAAACAGATGTTTTGAAAATGTGGCACAGTTCAGATATTTTGGAATGACTATAACATATCAAAACTCGATTGGAGGAGGAGATTGAACACGGGTAATACTTCCTACCATTCAGTCCAGAACCTTTTGTCTTCTCGTTTGCTGTCTAGAAACATAACAATTAGAATATATAAGGGTCAGTCAAATAAAAACGGGTCACCACGCATAACTCACACGGCGCGCAAGTTGGTAACACTGGAATTTGCTTACAATACGAACATCTGGTGGGGACTCGAGAAAGCACAGTGACAACGTGCCCTTGCACGCCAGTCGTTTGTTTATTGAGCTGGAAGTAAGGTTAGCGCTACGTGTATTCGTCCAACATCAGTAATGGTGGCGTGTAAAGAAGAAGAGCGAAGCGTAGTGCGCTTTTTGACTGCTGAAGGAGTAGGGCGACGAGAAATTCATCATCGCATGTCTGCTGTTTACGGCGAACACAGCATGTCATGTTCGCGTGTGCTGGCGTGGCATAAGAGATTCCGAGAGGGACATGTGTCACTGCAAGATGATGCTCGCCCAGGGCAGGCTCATCGTGTCATCACTCCTGATGTTACTGCTGCGTTGGATGGTCATATCCGGGCAAACCGACGGATCACTGAGGAAGAAATTAGTCTTCTGATGGCAATAAGTCACGGTTCCGTACACGCCATTGTGATAAAACACCTGTTGTACCACAAAATCTGCGCGCAGTGGGTTCCACATCAACTCACGCAGGAACATAAGATTCAGAGAATGGCTGCATCACTGGGTCACTTGCAACAATACCATGAGGAAGAATACGCTTTTCTGCCCCGTATTGCCACTGGGGATGAAACTTGGTGCCACCATTTTGAACCCAAGAGCAAACGGCAGAGCCAACTGTGGAAACATGTGAATTCTCCCCCACCGAAGAAATCCAAAACCGTACATACCAATTCTTGTAAAGTGATGATGACGTTCTTGAACTGCAAGGGCCCTCTGCTTGTCAACTCTCTCGAGCATGGGGCCACAATCAGTGCACAGCGCTATGAAGACACTTTGCAGAAACTTAGACGTGCCATAAAGTCAAAACACCTGGAATGCTATCGAACGGCATTATCCTTCTTCATGATAATGCGCGCCCCCACACTGCCAACTCTGTGGGGAATGCGCTACAGAGATTTGGTTGGGAAATGCTTCAACATCCCCCCTACAGCACAGATCTCTCCCCAAGTGATTTTCACATTTTTTGAGACCTGAAGAAAGGCATTCGTGGACATCGGTTTGCATCGGACGAAGACGTTTGTAACTGGGTAAAGATGTGGTTCCGTAGACAGCCCACAAGCCTTTTCAAGGATGCGATTGACCGTCTTATCTCCCAGTGGGAAAATGTATTAACAGTTTTGGAGATTACTTTTGAGGTAAGAAATGTTCTTTAATGTGTTTTGGCTTCTGACACGTTTTCATTTGACTGCCCCTCATACAAAACCGATTTTACCTGTGGTTCTGTGTAGGCGTGAAAGGTTGTCTCCAACATTAAGGGAGGAAAATAGACTGTGTGTGTTTGAGAACAGGGTGTTGAGAATATTTGGACCAAAGAGTGATGAAGTGACAGGAGAAAACTTCATAATGAGGAGCTTCATAACTTGTACTTTTCTCCAAGTGTACAATGATCAAGTCAAGGAAGATGAGGTGGACAGGGCATGCAGCACGAATGGGGGAGACGAGGAATGCATACAGGATATTGGTGGGAAAGCCAGAAGGAAGGAGACCACTAGGAGGGCCTAAATTGGGGGCGTGGACAATATTAAAATGGATCTTAGAGAGAGAGGCTGGGATATGGTTTGGATTGATCTGGATCAGGTTGGAGACCAGTAGAGGGCTCTTGTGAGCACGGTAATGAACCTTTGGGTTACATAAAATGCTGGAAAATTCTTGAGTAACTGCACAACTGGCGGCTCCTCAAGAAGGGTTCAGCTCCATGAGTGAGTGAGTAAGTAATATGCTTAGCCTGTCTACAACGCCATGAGTCCGAACTCGCCCAGTGTATGATGATGCGAGTGGTCTGGTGTCCTTCGCGTTCGATCGGCCTAAGGACCCCCATACACACACAGTTTGGCCTCCAGTTCGGCCTGCACAGTTGAAGACTGAAAGGCAAAACTGACGTGACCGGGCAATCGTTTGGACTGTTGGCCTCTAGGAATCCCGTCAGTTCTACCTGCAGGACGTAGCACGTGACATGCGGAACGTACGTGTCTGACGATACCGGCAGGCCAATCGCTCAGTCGCTGCTGCTGTCTCGTGTTCTTTCCTACTGTTTCGCGTTGTGGTCATTTCTCGTGGTATTTTGAAACTTTGTGCTATGGCGACATGGTCGAAGGACTTTTTAGTCGAGTTTATTGAACAATTTCGTGGTCATCCTTGCATCTGGAAGGTGAAGAGCAAAGAATACCACAATCGGGAGATGAAAGAGAATGCTTATTTAGCACTGACAGAAAAAATGAAAACAGCTGACCCACAAGCTAACAAGGAAACTGTGTTGAAAAAGATCAACAATCTACGAAGCAGTTTCAGGAAGGAAAGGAAGAAAGTACTGATGGCTAAGAAATCTGGAATGAGTAGCGAAGACCTCTATGTCCCGAAATTGTGGTACGACAAAGATTTGTTGTTCCTGGTAGACCAAGAAGAGGCCTTGGACGGGTTTTCAAGTCTTGTTAGTGATACGGAGGTAAGTGGTGTAATTAAAAATCAAACTTTTATTGCATGTTAACAATTATAATTGTTAATCTATAATTATAGATTACAATGCTAAACACTAACCCTTCAGCGTAAGCCTAATTTCGAAGGCCCATAAATATGGAACGAACCACGCCAGCATGATGATGTTTGCACTGGGCTGTTGCGAAAAGATTACGCTCTCTGTTCGTGTAACCATAAGTTTCAAGATCCTGCAGCTCTGCCAGTCAGTCTAAATAGAACGCGTGACCTCACAGTTACGAGGGCCAAGTGACTATGATATCAACATACCACAAAGGTGATATGCGTGTGGTTGTGAATAAAGCAAACAAACAAGAAACAAAGCCGGTGGTTGTTTGTTACTACAACAAAAACGTGCTAGGAGTGGATCTGACGGATCAAATGCTACAGCCGTACTTGCTTCAACGAAAGAAGAGTACTAGTTAGTTAGTTATTGGAGACGGTGGGTTTCCCCATGCACTGAGACCTGTATTGGTCCATTGTGCTTCCCTCTATGATTTCTACCAGTCTCTATATCCTACCGGTACTGGTGCTTACCATCAGTCCCGCTCAGCCAGCGAGACCGGCTCTACTAGCTGAGAGGTATCTATAATGCTTCCCCCATCTACCAGAGGTATTAGAGACTGCTGTTGGGCGGGAAACGTCCGTTAATTTGGCTCAGTGACCTCATTTGGAGATATGAGGTTCTTTTACGTGCCATAAAGCTACGACACGGGACCCACGGCTTGAAGTCCCTCCCGGAGGACTTGTTCCCTGAATTCGACGACCTCCGCCGGGTATTTGAACCCGCGTACTACGAGTCATGAGGTGGGAACGTTGCCTCTAGACTACGGAGGCCGCTAAGAAGAGTACTAAGTGGTTTCAGAAGTTATTCAAGAGGCTACTCAATGTAGCAATACATAACGCAATGGTCATATATCGATGTCTCCCGAATAACAAAAACATGGACGCACTAAGGTTCAGACTTTCACTAGCACAAGGCCTCGTGGAAAAACACGGTTCTGGTGTTCTTCG